AATCTTCTCACCCCCCAAGAGATAGGTGCAATCATTAGCTCTACTTTACAGATAAGTCTTTACAGAGAGATTAAGTCATGGGCTTAAATTACATAACTAGGGAGAGGAAGTTAGTATCAGGATTGGTGCGACCCTCGTCCTGAGTCCTTACCCATAGCACTTACGTCCTCCAGAGAGCCCAGATGGTTTCTGAATGGTCCTCGTCAGGCTATCCCCTGCATCACTACTCCAGGGTGCATTTTAAGTTGCAGATTGTGCACATGGTACCCTTCTTTCTCAATTTCTTCCTGTGCAACTCTCTAGACAGTTCCCGGGTGATCTCTCCTCAGCCCATCCTGGTGCTAGCCTTGAGGCTTCCCCGAAGGGGAGCAATGACCAAACCATATTGTAATCGTCTGTTCACTTGTCTATGTTCACAACCAGGCCATGAGCCCCTGCAAGACAACTTTGTCTGCTTGGCACATAGTCAATAGTCAAAACGTTAATGGAACAAATAGCCTCAAGAGGGGGCTAGATGTAGGCTTGTGTGGCCTTCCTGAAGGAAGTAGACAGTGGGGTTGCCCTCTCTGGTATTTGAAAACATCCTTTGAACCTATGACAGAGACAGAAAGCTGGTTGCAGGGATTATTTTTTCAATCTTGTAATCCTATGACTTTGAATTTGGGACCAATACTCAGGTCAAAGGGCAAGGGCCAGTGCAGAGTGCTGTGATGAGCTGAGAATGCTAATGGCATCGTCCTAATCCATATTCGCACCCCAAGGTCAGGGAGCATCTGGGAGGGTGGGGCTGGTGGCATTTAGCTCTGGCCTCACCTCAGGTGCATGGCAGATGCTCCCCCTCCCAGATGGCTATTGGGCAGCATCCCCTCCTCTACACTGGAAAGTTGTGGAACGTTCTGGAGGGATGAACAGGGACCTGAATGAGGAGAGTTCTGGTTGTCATGGGTGTGTGGTGATGGGGAAGGGAGCCCAGGAATCCACTAGAACCACAGAAATAGCCTGTCTTGGGGGAGATAAGGCAAAGGGTGAGCCTGTCCTGTAGGCCTTCTTTCCTAAGCCCCTCTTAAAATACAGCCTGCACAATGTTTTGCCGACGTGTCTGACCGCTCTGCCCGCAAGCATATAGACCTATGCTGTCCAGGATGTAGCCACTAGCCACAGATGGCTCCTGTGCACTTAAAATAGGGCTGGTGTCACTGAGCTAGTGAACCTTTCATTTGATTTAATTTTAATGAACTTAAATAGCTACACATGGATAATGATTCAATATTGGGCAGTGTAGCTATAGAACATTTCCAGCATTCTTGGTTCTATCAGACAGAGCAGGTCTAGACAGTTTCTGCTTTAATGACAAGCTTAGCATCATCAAGAGAGAAACCAGGAGCGCCTGAATCATTTCACTTCACAACCAATGGAAAGCTATGGCTGACTTGAAAAAAGGTACATAGTTATGCATAGATGGATGCGTGTGTGCGCACAGAGACACGTACCTCCACCCCCAGTGGGTACTATCGATCCCTCCCCTTCCCAACACTACGTTTAACTCAGAGATCTATTTTTACTTAGGTTTTGCTATTTCCCTCATTTTCCCTTTAGAGGACATTGATTGACGTCATTGAAGGGAAAGTTCTCTAAGCATTGCCAAGGAACATCAGTGTGTTTTTCTCTGTAGCTGGCACCTCTGAGGGTGTCTGGTCTCTGAGACCGTCTGCTTTGTAAACAGGGGCGAGCGAGCCACATTTCTGATCCTTCAACCTAGGACTCTGCCAGGGGGATGGCAGTGACCGGGTAGGGTGGGGTCTTTTGTGTCCCAGAGGAAGAGTCTCTGAATTCACCATGTCTGAGGTCTGAGCCAGGGTAATACCTCATATTAAGAAAGTAAGTGTCTGGCTCCAGCAAGTAAGGAGGCCAGGCGTGGCTTTTAATTTTCAAAGTATTTTATTTAAATAAGTTGTTCTTTTGTGTGTGTTTGAATTGTACAGACAAAAAAAAATACTGACAAATACTATACAACTTTGACCATTTATATTCTTCTTGAAAAGGTGGCTGCATCTTCCCCTCCCCTCTCGCCCCTCCCCCCAAGAGATTAAAAAAAAGCGAATCCATTGAGCAAGGGGGCAAAGACCTCCTCGGACTGTCTGAGTCAGACTCACTGTGGCTGAGTACGGCTGAAGCTGTTCAGAAGCCCAGGCCTGGGGGATCTTCTCTCTGAGCCTGTGCTGGTTTAAGAAGTCTCTTCTTTAGGAATCTTTTTTGGTCCCCCATTAACTTAACCTCCCCATATGAGCCAAGTAGGTTCTGGTCCTGAGGTCACCCTGGTTGCCAGTGGCAGTTCTGGGACAGGCTGGAAAGGAGTAAAACGGAGAGGACTAAAGAGATGGAAGCAGGATGGTACAGGGAGGAGAAGGGATAAGAGAAGCATAAAACATGGGGGAGAAAGGTGAGAACAAAGCAGAAAGAAGAGAGTGAACACCAACAGTCGTGTTAGGCTCCTTTCAATCGTCCATTTATTCAACAAAAATCTGAGGGTCTCTTATGCGCCAGCACTACTCTAGGTGCCCCAGTGAAGGTTGCCAGGGGAGGCCGGGGCGGGAAAAAGATAAGCCCCTTTCAGGGACTGGGTCTTCTGGGTCCTCAGCTATGGCTGCAGACGAGGAATGAGTTACTGGGTGTTTCGTGCCTGGGGCCAGAGCGAGTCCATTCAATTAGGAGACTGCAGGGATGCTGTGCCTGGAGACAGAGGCCTTGTCATGGCAGTGACAAGTGACTGCTGTCTTAATTCAAACTAGCAACAGTTGCCATGGAAACCATGCAACTCGTATGGTTCCTGATCCCAGTGATCCACTCTCCTAGATCACAACTGATGCCCTGTCTCAGCTGTCAGCCTCCATGTCTCCCCCAAGATGTCCATTTTAGGGGGACTGAGAGTTAGCAACAGGAAGGGTAACTGGTTCTGGTGGGCAGCAGTAGGCACAGGGAGGCATGTGCATGTGGTGTAGGGAGATGACCGGTTGCCCTGTAATGTGAAGGGGACAGCCAGAGGCTCCGTGACGAAACTCTCCACATGACAAGGGGCAGAGAATCAGAGTGCTTCTTTCTCTGGTCAAAGGGGTATATAAATGGGGTGTCTAAGTGCCCAGGGGATTTACAGCCACGTAGGGTGAGAGAATGAACAAGAATTGGCTCTAAAATATATGCAGGTCTGAATTATGATTCATAAGGTCACCTGTTAGAAGACCCTGGTGCCAACAGTCACCACTAGACACCCGCCCTCTGCAGGCCTGGAGTGCACCTGGAGGGCAGGTGAATACCAGGAAGCCCGAGTGAGCAAAGAGTACATCTTTCCATTAACAAGTCTTATGGAATTTCGTTTTTTGCTCCTATTAATATCGTAGTTTAGTTACATTATTTATTAGACAGTGATTTCACCACTACTTAGAACAGCTTCTGTGGGAAAAGATTTCACAAGAACTCCCCAGCATATTTGCAAATGAACTTTTAGAGCACAACCTGCTCCCCAGTTAGGAATTGTCCATCTTTGTAATATGGTCACAATACAATCAAAACACCAACCAGTTCATCAGGTAAGTGGATTAACTCTGCCTCCCAACCTCAGCCTGGTGGGGAGAAGTGCTCCTCAGCTCACATCGGATCTAGTCTACATACTCATGTACTTCAGGGCATGCATGTCACCTCGACCCTGGGTCTGCGTGTACTCTCCTGCAGAATTCAATTCCTAATTTTATCCATTGCAGCAATTAGTGGGCTCACTTAGAAAAGAAGGTCACTTGGGGGGAACTGACGAGGTATTATGAGTTTACCCTTAACATTATCACATATCCAACAGCAACCACAGACAGTTATGAGTACCTACTGTGTGCTGGGCACTTGCCTGAGCTTCAAGATATAAATAAACTTCTTAATAGCTTAATTCTACTTTCATTTAAACTCTGTCACATCTGCATCCCACCTATAACCTTATGAAACTGTTTCCAGTGTGTCTTCTGTGAGACTGTACCAATGATTATCTTAATTCCTTCCCTGTTGAAAACTTTTGGCCACACAGGAGACACCTAGCTCAGGTGTAGCATCTCCTTTCCCTTTCTTCTTGTGAGGCACACGTTGCACAGGTACATGATTGCAGTCCACTGATGTGAATGACGGGGCTTCCACAGCTCTCTGGTAGACACTACCAAGAGCCATTTGTTCTTGCTTAGAGAATGGAGTTGTTCTGGGGGGAGTGTCTCAAAGAGACGTCTTGGACCACGTTAAACACCTATCAGTGGTAATGAGGACCTTGCCATGAGTTGCAAGGAAAGAGCTTGGATGAATGAATTTGATCCATCACACTTTAAACTTTTTGGCACAGGTGAGGGGCCAAAAACACAGAAACTTAGTGTGTCTGTATCAACATACACGGGGTGGGGACTGTACCAGGTTACTGGAATGTCCAAATCTGAGTATTTCTAGTAAAAGATTATGTAGAAATAGAAATAGAAAAGCACACATCTTCAACCTGAGTAGTATATGGAATAGACAGTGCACAGGGGCCCTGCCTGGTTATGTAATTGTGTATATGTGCCTGAATCTGACCAGGCCTTCCCATGAGACATTTTTCTAAGTGTAGGTAATGTACTTCCTTGCACAAAGTACATATCCAGTGACCACCTGATGAACAGAATATGCTTGCCCATGTACCTGTTGCCAGAATCTGTGTTTGTGAGCACACGCACGTGTCTGTGTGTGTGTGTGTGTGTGTGTGCACGCACACTGGGGAGCAATATCAAGATGTATGGATAAGTATTCTTTGTGCTTTTGCATATGGGGTGTGCCCGAGATAGGGCGAAGGCACGCCTCTGCAGTAGAGAACATTGCTGCTGGACACACAGCTGCCGAGACAGTGCCCAAGAATTTGTTCACCTGCTCCCCTGGGAGTGCCCTCCACTGGGACACTTAGTCTGAGGTTTGTTCCCTGTTGAGTAGTTATTCCATGGACAGGAGTGTGTCACTCCAGAGATTCCTGTTCTTAGTCTGTGTGTGGTTGGAAGGAGGCTTAGCCCCAGAGGGGGGCCACCTCTGCTTCCTGCCTTACTAGACAGGCAGCGATGGCCTCTTCTCCAGCTGGAGCAGCTTGGGCTGAGCAGAGATCCACAGGTCTTCCTCATCCCTCTTCTTCTTCTTCTTCCTCTTGTTTTGCTCTGGCTGTTGTCTGCTCTTGCTTAGCCGGCTCCAGCAGCAATGGCAGCAGATGAAGAGGAGTGTGGTGAACACCAACAGAGGCAGCCCCAGGAGGACGCCCAGGCAGATGGTGTTGAAGATGCCCTCTTCATGTTTGGTCAGGATGGTGTCCCAGATAGAGCTGAAGAAGGAGCCAATTCTCTCCATGGTGCTGTCTGGACCGGGGCCAAAGAGTCCACTCAGTTCACTAGCAAGTCCTGGGCTCAAGAAGACGCTGCCTTGACCACTTGTAATTTATTCCTCTTCCAGGTTTGGGCATGTCACAGATAGCACCTGAAGAGATTAAAACAGACCATTCAAGAGGAATGCAGTGGGAATGGCCTACAACTTTAATTGCATCATAGATTTTAGGCTTAGGAAAGGGAAAGGAATTGAAGATTTCCAGAGAGTTCACTGAAATTGCACTGAGACTCAATAAACAAGATAAATGAACAAGATAAATGTAGTCAATAAGCATTAGCAAATTCTTGCTATGTACACACGTTATATTGGGCTTAAGATATAAAAATTAATAGTATATCAGGTCTGGCTCATAGTGGGTGCCCAGCAGTTGCTGGATAAATGAATCAGTGTGTGTATTCAGTGTCCTGGTTAGGAGTTGGCTCCCTGGACCTTCTACAGCAGCAGTTCTCAATCTGTTTTCCATTACAGCTCACTTGACAGGTGTTGAATGCACACTCCCCACAGGACAGTTCTGTATGTGACCTTCTATGAACACAACTTGCCATTTTCAAAGCTTTTTAAAGCTTAAGCCCAAGATGAAATGTCTATGCTTTATTGCCTGCGGTAGGGGACTTGGGCCTCCCCCTGTTGTGGCCATCAGTCCTCCTCCTGCCTCCTTCCTGCCTTCCTTACTGTCCCTTATGCTCTCTTCCCTGCCCCATGCCTCCTACCCTCCTTATGTCCCCTTCCTGTGCCTGAGGTGTCCTCTCCTCCTGAGTCTGTGGGAACCAGGGGTTCTCTGCTTTCTACCTTCTTTTCCCACATTACACTTGTCTCTGCTTTCTGTCCCTCAACCACACATACCCGGGTCTCCTTCCCTGCCTGCTCCCTTTCTTCTCAGTAGGAAAGGAGCCTTGCAGGCTGCATATTTATAGTGATGGCACTTGTGTGTGTGTGGGGGGGGGAGGGGGTGCTCCTGGATGCCTCCCTGCTCCTATTCTGAGCTCAGTTTGAAGCTGGAGCTGTTCTCCTGGTTGCTTGCACAGAGTAGCCCCTCTGCCTTTGTCATCCTCCAGCTCTCCACATGTATCTTAGGACTCAAGTCTCAGGTATAAGGACTTAGAGGTTCTCTTCAGTTCTGGAATCCACAGGTTCTTGCGTCTAAGAAAGACTTCAAGGAGAGGCATGATTCAAGGAAAGTTAAGAGCCTCTTGGTGCAGGACATTGCCCTGGGCCCAAATATCAAAGTCATTGATTTTCAGGCTGGAGACTTTAGAGATCATCCTGACCAACCCTCTCACTTAAAAATGAAGAATCTGAGGTCCAGAGAGGTGAGGTGACATGTCTGAAGCCACACAGAGCTGGAATGAATATCCGGACCTCTGGGCAATGGGACCAGCACTCTCCCAAGTCTGCCCAGCAAGTAGATGAACTAAGGTTGACAATGATGCTACTTTGTATTTATATTTCACTTGATACTTTTCTAATTGCCTTCATGTGCATTTTGTCTTTTAAGCAGGCGACAGGACAGTACAGTGTCTATGGATGGAAGCACTGGGAAACCTGGGTCCAAAATCCAAGGCCAGCTCAGGCTTCATTCTGTTGCTCTGCACTGGAGCATAAATGTGTGGCCCTCCTGGGTGGTGTGTTGTACCTCGTACCCCAGGAGGTGTCCCTGGAAGTCTAATTAGGAATTATCTAAATAGGAATAAATATCCTATGTACCCAGTGCCCACGTGCCCATCCAAGCTCCACCTGACCTCAGTGTTGGTCTTCTGGAATGTGGCCCCACCCCCTTATGGCATTATTTATGCAATTTTTGCAGTTGTATAAGCTGGCACCTACTTCTGTGCTATTTGGTCCGTAGAGCCTGAAGTTATGCTATAGGAGGACAACCATAATGGGAGCTAACTTTTGTTAAGCACTGATATGCCAGGCACTGTTGTAGACACCTTACGCCTATTAACTCATGTGTTCTTCATTTATACCTTATGAGGTAGGTCCTGCTCTTCCTCCATGCTGCACCTGAAGGGATGGAGGCACAGGTCACTTGGTGGGTGAGTGGCAGAGCTGGCCTTGCTCATTCTGGGGAGGCTCAAGGTTCCCACAGGGTGAGCTGTTCACAGGCGTTGTTCTGTGGCCTCCTATTCTTTGTGTGGAATTAACCCATTTTTGGCAAATGGCCCAGGATTTACAGAATCTTACAATACTTTTCTATGCCCCAGATTGACTTAAATGTTTATCCCAGTGTATTGTAAAAGAGACCGCAGAGAAATTTACTTCCCTTTGTTAGATACTTCCCAAAGGCATGAAGATACACAGAATAAAAACCAAGTCTTCCTCAAGTGCAGGTTTATGAACAGCATATGGCTGCCTGAACTTAAACTCAACATACAACAAAGACAAACATTCTGAGAAGTCACATCCTCCTGCTGGAGGCTCTGCCCAAGCCCCTCTAAGGCCTGGGAACAGCCCACCACAGTGATCCACCCACGCAGCATCCAGCCCCTGGCTCTCTGCAGAGAAAGCAACCCCTGGAGAGCCAAGAACTCCCTCGGTGCTGTTCCTTCTCACGCCACTCATCCTCTTCCGAGTTTGCCTTCTCCCTTTGCCGTGACCCACGCTTTCACCTCAGCTTTGTGTGGCCAGTATGTTTTGACCCCTCTAGAGGGATTTCTCTGCTCTATTGTGAAGACTTTGGGTGCTTTCCTCTAATTTTGTCCACCACATAGCTTTCTGGGGACCAAATGCTCCTTGCACTGTGGTTCTGTGATTCACATTAGATGACACCACCACTGCAACTGTGGGCAAACTACTCTGTGCCAGGGGTCTCACTGGTCCCTGCAGGGAGCAGAAGGGCATCAGGGGCCCACTCTTGGGCTCAGCCATGGGGAGAGGAAGGACATCGAGCCCTTGGACAATATTAGAGCAATTTTCATGAAGGTGGAGCCATTTGAGGAGCACTTTGAAAGATGAGTAGGCTTTTGACAGAGAAACCTGGGTGAAAAGGATGTTCAAACAGTCCAGGCAGAGAAACTTCTAGAACATGAGCAGGAGAACAGGGGGGTCTTCTGGTGAGCCTGGAGCTCAGGGTGGGGGAGGACAAGACCGGAAGAGAAGCTAGAAAGGCAAGTTGTGGCCATGGTAGAGAGGGCCTTTGTAGGGGTTGTGTTAATTTGGGAGCTTTATAACTGGACAATGTTGTGATCAGAGCTGCCCTTTAGGAAAAGATAAGATCTGAAAAGCTCCGGAAAATGTTTTAAGACAGCTCTTTATCCACTTAACACATATTTTTTGAGCACCTAATACGTGTCATGCACTGTGTTAGGTGTTGAGGATTCAGTAAGGAGCAATGAAGATACGATTTTTGACATTATGGAGCCTCGTACACTCCAGGGGAGTTATTATTATTGAAGGATCAAGTTATAAAAGACAAATATAATAAGCAAATTCCAACTTAGATTGCTTAGTTGGCTGAAGTAGAAGCATGCATTTGAATAATGTGTTTATCTCAATGTCCCAGGCCTTCCTACCCCTCCCAACCTTTGTCTTAAACTTGTCCATCCCATGGCACCTAAAATAGCCTTTGAATAAATAGATTTCTTTTCAAGCTAAAGTTAAGTCAATAACTCACTTCTGGATTCCTAAAGGTGCTTATTTGAGTCTGCTCTCCATACAGCCAAAAAGAGTATTCATTAACATTTGGGAACCCAATCTAGAGAAAATTCAATTAAAAGGTATTCTTTACATTTGTCAATCTAAGAATTCTTTTCTAGCACACTCCTCACCCCCCCAACCCCAGGTTACTTGCTGAGCTCTGCTAATCTATAGTGTTTCATTAGTATTTATGAGCTTTGCATTATTAGCATTTCCAGGAAACAATCAAATATCTCCTTGCAAAAGAAGTCACATTCGGGCTCTAGAAGTGCACTCTGGGAGACCCTGTTCTTTTGTTGACTTTCAAGTATTGCTGACACTGTTTGAAAAGTAATTCATCTATTCTTGTTAAATCAACAATAGGTGCCAACCAACATTGATTGTTTGTGGTTGTGGGGGTGGGTGTGAGAAGGGAGAAGAGGAGGAAAATTACTTTCAATCTCCTTGAAACCAAATGTTATTTATCTTTATATCCTCTGTAGTATCCACCCAACCAACATTGATTGTTTGTGGTTGTGGGGGTGGGTGTGAGAAGGGAGAAGAGGAGGAAAGTTACTTTCAATCTCCTTGAAACCAAATGTTATTTATCTTTATATCCTCTGTAGTATCCAGCTGGGGAGAAAGAGTCATTCATTCATTTATTCTTTCTTCCACAAGCTTCCACCTGCCCGTGTATGAGGTGTTGATGCTGGGGCCAGAAGACCTGGGTTTAAGCCCTGGGTCAACCCGCATGATCTTGATGAGTTACCAAACCTCAGCTACAAAATGGAGCTAATAAGCTTCCCTCAAAATGATGTCGTGAGGATTAGAAGGGCTCAAGAGACTTAATGCATTTTGTAAACTGCAAAATACTGTACAAACATAATCTATAAAATAACAGGTTATCTCCAAATAACAATGGACTAATTCTAGCTTTGAGATTTTCCTCCCCACCCTCAGTTCCAAATCCAATCCTCGCTGCCAAAGAACCATAGGATCCCACCCATTCAAATGAAGAAGGCTTCACAAGTAACCTCTCTGCTTATGGCTGCTCTGCAAGCCTGTGGCTGTAATTCTAGACTCTGGCATCCAGCAACAGGATGAAGGGTCACCTGAGGAACATCTGATGGTTCCTGGAGGACTGTAGAACTCACAGCTGAGGCCTGAGAGCACAACGAGCCATCTGCAGGCCCGAGCCTCTCTCCCAGGTTTTGAGAAGCCTGGAAGTGTGCAGGGGTTGGTCTTCCCACAGGGAAGACTGATCCAGTTTCAGAGCCAAAAGCTGCTCCAGGCTTGTGTCCAGGGCTAGCTCTGGGACTGGTGTTCCTTCTGGAGTGCTCCCCAAAGGGGGTGGGGCATTCTGCTTTGCATCATCCTCTCATTGTTCCTGTTTATTAGATGAAATAATACATGTAAAGTTCTAGAATGGTGTCCGTCAGATAGTAAGTGCTTTCTAGAAATGCAATGATAAGGAT